CCATAAAATGAGTTAGAATATAAATGCAGGTCTTTTCAGGTGAGACAACAATAGGACATTATGATGAAAAATGGTCAAGCTTGCAGTAGTGACATCTCAAAATCATGTTTGATTGTGTACTACTAATGAGTTCATACAATTACTTCAATCAACATCTAAACTTTCTAAATGAAACTGGTTATGCTATTGATGGATTTCCACATACCATTTATCATTACAAAGGAAAATTACTGCAAATCTGTATATGCCCTTTTATATAATCCACTTGGATCCCTTTTATGGACTGTTCCACTAAAGTAAGGAAACATAGGAGAATCATTATACATTTTAATATGAAATGGGGCTGTTTTGCTAATGCTCATATTGGTAATTTTCTTGTGGCATTTTGAATTGATTACTGACGCTCATTTTTACAAATTTTAAATTAACAGCCTTTATGAATGTGCATGTATGCATGTGTGCAGGAGTATGACAGCTTTCTATTTCCTTGAAGACTGTAATTGTTTTTTTGTCTCATAGGAAAAGGTGACAGTAAATAGCTTCTCAAATGGTGATACATATATCCATATTTTCAAAGTATTTTTTCTTATTTCTAACTCGAAAAAAAGAAAGAAAGAAAAAAAAAAAAAAAACAGCAAGTGTACATATCTTTTCATTTTCTATTCTTTAAGCACTTCACACACATTGTAAAGTCTAGTAAGACAGCAGGCACAAGGGCAGGAACTTTAAGATATGTACAATGAAGTACATTACTGAAAAAATAATATAAAATGCACTGTTTTTATCATATTGTATAAAACTATATATTTGAAGCCATTTTACAGCAATTCTTACTTAAACACTGTATATGTCCCTTTGTGTATGTGAGCATAATGCTTCCTCATACATAAGGACAGGCTGAGTTTAACTAGAAATATAGCTACCGATCAAAATCATCGCAATGACCAAATCTTTTACCGTGTAATTTTCATTGTAATTTTGTATCTGGTTGTCAATTTAATGTTATCATTTATTTATTAAATCTGAACAGCCTTGTATTTTCCCAATATCAAATACTAATGACATAAAAGTGTGCAAGCACTGAAATGTAACTCCACTTTATTAGGTATACATATTAACTTCTTTGACACATAAAAAAAATGCTGATCTTAAAAAAATACTATCTGCACTAACCTTCACTATTCTGTTATTTTATGTGTAACACTATTACTAAATTCATTACTACCAATAACTAAATAATATCCATAATCATATGTCAATCTTGGTATTTCTTTAGAATGAAAGAAAGAGGAGAAAAAAGAAGACAATGTAAACATTAGGAACAAATATGCACTCATATTCAGCAAGAAATTCAAAAGGGAAGATTTTACAAAAAACTTTTAAAACCTCTTTTTCACTATGGGCATGCTTTTACTTCTTGGTATAATAATGGCAGGTAACAAAAGGCATCTTTGATACTTTAGCTGGTATGGACTTTTTACGCACTTGGACAGACAACTCTGTGCCTACTTTCGCCACGGCAGCTGGGACATAAGCCATGGCCACATTCATTCCTAATGATGGGGCTGGACAACCACTTGTGACCTGGAAAAAAAAATATATATATATATATTTTGCCTACCTTGCTACATGCTGTATATTATGAATGAATAAAGTAAATGTACTCACTTCCATGGACCAGTTTTATGAAAATTTATCCCAAACTTATCAGTAAATACTTACAATGGACAAGTTTTATCTGAATTTATCCTAAACCATTCCCTGCCTGATAGCTAATTAACTGAACTTGAAAACCCATCTTTTTCAGTAAGGGATATTTTGTAATATTCATGACACTGATCTCAGCAATGCATATGTCCCTCTCTTTCTCTCTTCACAAAATACAATTTGGAATACATAAATATGTGAAGGAAACTGCAGCATTCGGATCAATCATAAAGGTAAATGAACAAAGACCCTACTTGTAAAGGACATCTAATTCTACCCAAAATCATGTACATTGTTAGATTTGTCAGATCCTGCAAAAATCAGCAACAAAAGAAAATAACATATTTTTTGTAAGTTAAAGGCAGTAAAACGACGGTATTCTTTCTCACCTCTCCAACTTGGCTGCCATCAGCATCTAGAACTGGGCAGTGTGCTCTGGGTGGAGGTCCACTACACACTAGACCAACACGTCTGCGTTTTGGCTTCTCTTTTAGCTGTTTCAGTATGATCTGTACAAGGAAATCATCATTAAACTCTAATCTATTAGAATCCTAGATTACATCACTGTATCAAATTTCTACTGAAATCATTTTATCCACATTATTTGACATTTGTATTATTCTAGAAGTCTTTACATATGTATGCATGTGTGAGGGTACAAGTACACTTGTTAAATATATTCAAGTCTGCATATACATTCTGTATATCTGCATTTGTATGAGCGTAACTCGGTATCCCCATTACCTCAGCTCCCAAAAAATCAGCAGTCTGTCTACGTCTTTTCCCAATAGTC